AGGTCTGATGGCCGTGTGACAGTGGGAGAGCTGAGGAGATGCACTCTTGCAGTCATTATTTCTGACGCTTAGTAGCCTTCCTGCCTAGCTAAGCTGTATCGTAGTCCAGAAGAAAGCTAATGAAGGTGTGTGTAAATAAGGCTGGGGCATCATCTTGGAGATGTGATGGCATGTCCTAGCCCACTTGAGATGGCAGAAATCATTGCTTGCAGATGCTGCAACATAAGGACTCGAGAGGATACTCCAAGAGGACGCTTTGGGTTGAAACGATCAGTTGTGGGTGTGTAACTTCAGCCAAAGGAGACTGCAGCCTGCTTGTGAATTCCTCAAGGTGCTTTCCTCTGCCTAGCAGCAAAAGTGATGCTTTGCGTGGCTTTGTCTTCAACCAGATACTCATTGTCCATGATGTGTTCTCCTGCAACTCCTGGGGCACCTTGGTGGTATCGGGCTCTTGATGATGAAGGATAGGTGGAGCTGCGTCCCATGAATATTTCCGTCATGTCTGGACAATTTAACTTGTATGTCGGTGTGGCACAGGGCTCAAGGTTCCTCCATAACTTTTGTGAGTTGAGTGGCACCCAACTTCAAAAAACAATTTGTGTATCACTGTGCTTACTTCCTTGTAGAAGGGCCAGGTTTTCAGAGCATCTGAGCATCTTACCCTGGCCTTCTGCCACCTTTCTCCATGTCCTAGGCTTGACTGACCGTGTGAGATAGAAAGATGCCCTCCCAGAGGGCTGTTAGGATGTCTGCTCCTCATCCAGTGATAGGAGATCATCTAGTACCAGTAAAGGTGTTTCTTTTCCATGTCCTGGCCTGAATCCAATCTAGGATATTAAACTACAAGTTCTTGCAATGGAATTTCTCTTTGAGCTTGGACAGGGATGGTAGATTTGAGGGAGGTGGTAGCTAATTAATGAAGATGCATCTAAGGTATTACTTTTTCTGTAGCTGTCTCTCTGTATTGCCTCTCTGTAGGAGGTTAGATGCCTTCACTAAATGAGGCCGAAGTGGCACCAGTTTCTAACTTGGCCATGAGTTGTACCCTTTGCCTAGGGGATCTGAATAGTCAAAGGTAGAGCTTGCGGACCATTGTGTTGATGGTCAAGAGTAGCATACAGTGACGGCGGTGATCCACTAGATCTTAGCTGCTTGTCCTGTGGGTAAAGCCTGCTTGCAGATTTGACAGTCTAAGAATGCTTATTGTTAAATCAGGGTCATGGCTCTTTCTCACTGTTTGGATATTCAGATATCTCTGGTCACTATCTGAATGAAGGTCCAGCTTAACTGACCAGATACCCCCAAATTATGCCTTCCTGTCAATGAAAAATCCTTTTACATTAGTTCTCCGAGCAAAGCTCTGCAATAAATGGAGATGATGGGAATGTTACGTTGGGTTTTCTCTGATTTTGCACCTGACTTTCTCTGTATTGGGGGTGGGGAGTATGACCCCCTTTCTTGGATCTCTCAAGCATGTTAAAAACCCTGGCAGCAGTAGGACACTGGCAGCTGTTGTACCCTGCTCTCCTGTGGCACGTTTGGGTGGTATGCCTTGTAGTTGCATGGCAGGGTCGACCGTGTAGTTTTTAGTAATGATTTAGACAAGGATTTGATTGGGATGGTTTGGATGGGGATCATCCTCTCCCTGGCAGGGATCCGGGACCCGATGACCTCCAGAAGGTCCCATCCAGCCCTAACTTTTTATGATTTTATGATATCTGCCTTAATTGGCTCTAGGCAACACCAGTGTCTCTGAAGTCTATCTGATGTGCAGACCCTTGACAGGATCTTTTGGGATAGAAAGGTCCGGCAAGTGAAAGAGCTGGGATTGGGGGCTCACAAAACGTCTGATTTTTGGCTATCATGGATGTGATGGGTTGCTCAGTAAAACGGATCCAGTTGACTTAAGGGAGTAGCCATGTCATGCAGAGAAATGATGGACCTGCTCTCCATAATTGATATAAGGCAAACCTGATGACTAGACCCCATACTTTCTGCCTCTCTGCATTTCATCTAGATGTTTTCCTAGGATGCAACGGATAGTGCAAACTTTCATTAGAAGCAGCAGCTCATTGCTGATAACCCGAAGTTGCTGCTGAAGTGCCATGGAGAGCTTGGCACTGCAGAAGGTCAAAGATCTCACTTTCTGGTCCATACCGTTTCTTGCAGTCCCCTTGGTGCCATGCATAGGAGTCACTGGGACATGGGTGTAACCTTTTTCTGTTCCTTGCTTGGTCCCTCCATAAATCAGGGCTATGATGGTCCTTACATACCATGGCAAGCTCATGTGTTTGTGCTGGCTTCTGCAACGCTCAGGAGTTTCCAAGTTATTTTGGAGTCAGGCCTACCATGTAGGACATGGGACTGCATGGAGAAAGGAGAGACACTGGGCTTTGTTTCTGCGTGTGTGACATGAGGCAACCCCCACTCTGTGCATCTCTTCCTTTTCCCACCCTATGCCCATTTGCTCCACTGGAGCTCTGATCTCTTTTTTTAGGCATGGGTTGTTCCTCCCTCTTTGTTTGCAAAGTTTCTGGCACAGTTTGGCCCTGGTTTCAGCTGAGTCTGTATGCAGTGCTGCAATACCAATACTGCAATAATAATTCTTCTTGGATTGCAAAAGTTTTTTGTTTTTTTTTTTTTATTTGAGTCAGACCTGCTAGTGGGAAAGCTAACTTAGTTCAGGGTTTTACAGATTGATGTTTGAGTATATGGGCATGTACATATATATGTAAATATCAGCGAGTGTATTTATTACAGCAACATTTAAAATAGGAAGGGAGTCGGCACGTGGAGTCAGATTCATCAAAGATATAGCAACACACTTGGGTATTTATGCCTCAGTTTTGAATAAGTAGTAGATGCTCATATGCATTATTAACCAGAAGTAGGAATCGGGGTAGTTCTAAAGATTGCTAATCAAAAGGATAGAGGCGATACTTTGGTGACTAATGGATATGGCCGTTTATTTTTATTTCCCAATTAGGTCCGTTAAAAATTGTTCTTAATGGCAGTTGCAAGCAATCTTGGCATGCTCAGGAGTCTTCTGGCTTTCAACCTCCTATTCTGCAGTCTATGTGCTTGAGGATATAATATTTGCCACAAGTAGCTGTGACATGCTGTATTATGTTTTAAAAGCTTAACTGTGTCATAGTTAATTGTGAGACAGAATCTAACAGAAGATTTCTATGTCTATCACAGCGGGAGACACTTTCTCTCACTGCTCCATTGTGGCTGTAGGGGGGTTGTGCTTCTGGAGGTACCAACATGTGCATAAGCGGTACAGCTATCTCATGGATGAACTTAGAGTTTTGAGAAGGAGGGTGCGGATGATGTGGTGCATCATCTCATATAACATGGCCCACATTTTCCTCCAGTTAAAATAAATTACCTGCTTTACTAATATGCTACAGGCTTAGAACTATATTATTCTATTTAAAATTGAAGAAAAAGCAAATACGACTTTTTTGGAAGTTGCATTAATTTGCTGTTACATATTAAAAAAACAAACTAGGCACAAAAAAAATCAAAATGTTTCATTAGTTCTGTAGCCATTAGAGTTAAACGTACGTCTTTTTCAGATTCATGAAACTAAGTCTAGGCTTCTTGAGCATCTTAGCAATGCATCCAGTGCTTCACTGAAAGTTATTTCCATACCTGAGTTTGTGTTTACTTGAGATAATGTTTTTAGCTACAGTTAAAAACAATCTGCAGGGCTGTGAAATAGGAGCTAAATTACCAGGAGCAGCTACCAGGCAGCAGAACTGCCAAAGAAAGGATAGCTTGATTGAACATCAAACTTATTAAAAAGGAGTGAAGTTTGTTAATACTGTGGAAAGTGTTTCAAAGCAATCGGGTAGATTAAAATGAGCCATGCAGTCAGTTGACTCCTTCAGTCCTGCCTGAATAGAAATGATCATCCCCCTGATTCCTGCTAATGTCTCTGCATTCAGCAGGTGTTAACAACCCTCTCTTCTTTTTAATGGTCTTGATGGTCCACTATTTAAACTGTCCTTTCTTCTGCAATGTTGCTGTCTGTTAGCCATTCCTGGTACTCTCTCTCTCTTTCACGGCCCTGCAGACCTGTTTTTAGCTCTAGCTAAAAATCTTAACTTGGATGTAGTAATATTTACTCGGGGCTGGAAATGACTGACAGTGGAAGTATTGGAGGCACTGTCAGAAATCTCAAGAAGGCTAGATTTTGTTTTATGCATCTGCATGAGAGACTTGCATTCAACTATGATGACTACAAGACTAGTGGCACAATATTTTTCGACTCTTGTCTCTTTTTTTGCCTTGTTTGCTGTACATACTTTTACATTTATAATCTAGCAAATAAGTGCACATTCCAGTAGTTGCATTTGTTTTTGCTTTGATCTTAAACTGAATGATACAGTGCCAGTTTCCTAGCATATTAACAATGCATCTAGTTTCTCTTGAACTGGAGACAAAATATGCATTTTGTTGTATATGGTGATGTGCTACACCATCTGCACCCCCCTTTTCTAAATCCTGGATCTGCCCATGGGAATAGTTCACATGCTTGAAATCAGTGGTTCTCAACTAGGGTGTCTCCAGATCCTTTGAAGGGTGATGCAGAGTATGAGGAGATAAACTAAGCAGATTAGCCAAGCTTGGGTTTGTCCCTGCCTGGATGATCCCCCACCCAGGCTGTCCAGCTCCCTCGCCTCCCCCTCACAGAGGGAGATCATGCTGGTGGGCGCTGCTCCTTGGTGCTTAATTTGCTCATCTTTAAATTAAGGACTGCACTCCCTCACCACACAGAAGACCTCCAAATAATTACCTTTGGGCAGTTTGGTCTCCCTGTAAAAGAGTATTACTTTCTGTTGAGCAATCCATGAAACATCCCCCAAAGTGTAGGGGCTGTTGCTGGAAACCACAATTCAAAGGGCTGTGAGTAGTCTTGTGCATCTCTGACGGTAACAAGTATGTTGTGTTTTTCTTCCTCCCCACTAAATAAGTTACATTTTGCATTTCAGGTTGTAGAAGAATCTTGTCTGACGGGGAGGAGAGGACGTGAGCAAATCACCTCTACAGGTCCTTATAGGTAAGGGGGAAGGATCTTGTTGACAGTTGGAGATTGTGACCTGGGAGGGAAGTCCTGCACCTTGCAAAGGTTGGAACACCTTGCATGGTTTCCGTGGTGGATGGGATTGTTTCTGGTTCTCCATCACCGATAATTTTAGAAACTGCTCTCTCTCTTTTGAGTTCATAGTCGGGTAAATGGGGTTTGGATCGTGCAAGATATTAGCCTGTTTTTTGTTTCCAAGCCAAGCCTTCCAGGAGGACACTCCATTCATTATTTGCATCCTGTCTTCAAACTGCCAGGTTGTATTATTGTGAAGGTGTTAGGCGGTGTCTGCACTAATGTGATTTGAAATGTAGGCAACCGTCAATCCTTCTGGATCATGGTATATGCCTGGGTGGTCACCAGGACCTTTGGCACATGTGCCTATGGAGGAGTGGAGGCTGCCCAGACCTTTCATCCCCACCTTTTTGATCATTGAGACCGAATCCAGGGGTCAGACCGAGTCGGGACGTTTGGTGCCTTGATGTCTATAGTTATACATGTGTCCGGAAATACCCAGCTCTCTCACATGGCAGGCAGGGATTCTACCACTGAACCACAATATCCGCTGGTGATTTGAAATGCCACCTACCTAACTGCTTTAACAAGACACCTATTTACCTACTCAAGCATAGATGAGGGTGTGGCTGGTCTTCCACTTCTCCATCCTTGGTCTTTGTATCAACAGAGATTGAACACTTCCTCCTACAGGTAGGTTGGGTTAGCTGCCCATGGATCATACATAGTTTCATAGTTTCAGGGTCGGAAGGGACCTAATAGATCTTCTAGCCCGACCCCCCGCCAGGGCGGGAGAACAACCCAAAAACACAAACAAAACCACTCACCCTAAAAACAAAAACGGGACTCAAATGAGTCCAGCCAGGTAAGTATCCAGCCTCTTCTTAAAGATCCCCAGGGTAGGGGCCAGCACCACCTCCCTTGGAAGTTGGTTCCAGCTCCTAGCCGCCCTGACTGTGAAGTAGTTTTTTCGGATGTCCAATCTGTACCTCCTCTCCATCAACTTGTGCCCATTATTCCTTGTTATGCCAGCAGGGGCTAGGGGAAACAGCGTCTCCCCCAAACCCTTCTGGTTCCCCCTAGTGAGTTTATAGACGGTCACCAGGTCCCCCCTCAGCCTTCTCTTGTGGAGGCTGAATAGGTTCAAGTCCCGCAGTCTCTCACTGTAGGGTCTGCCCTGTTGTCCCCGGATCATGCGGGTGGCCCTCCTCTGGACCCTCTCCATGTTGTCCACATCCCTCCTGAAATGGGGCGCACAGAACTGGACACAATACTCCAGCTGCGGCCTGACCAGCGTCGCATAGAGGGGGAGGATCACCTCCCTGGCTCTACTCGAGATGCACCTGTGGATGCACGACAAGGTCCGGTTAGCCCTGCCAACCATGACCTCGCATTGTCGGCCCATGTTCATCTTGGAGTCAATAATGACACCAAGATCCCTTTCCGCCTCCGTGCTCTCAAGTAGGGAGTTCCCCATCGTATAAGTGTGCTGCTGGTTCCTACTACCCAAGTGCAGCACCCTGCACTTGTCCGTATTGAAACGCATCCTGTTCCTGTCTGCCCACCCCTGTAACCTATCCAGATCCTTCTGCAATCTCTCTCTCCCTGCTAGCGTGCTCACCTCCCCCCAAATTTTGGTGTCATCAGCGAATTTAAACAGGTTGCTCTCCACCCCAACATCAAGATCGCTGATGAAGACATTGAACAGCGCAGGGCCCAGGACCGAGCCCTGAGGGACTCCACTACCCACCTCCCCCCAAGTCGAATATGATCCATCCACCACCACCCTCTGAGTGCGACCCTTCAGCCAATCTGCAATCCATCTGACCGTGTAGGCATCTATGCCACAGTCGCCTAGTTTACTAATTAGGATGGGGTGAGAGACGGTGTCAAAGGCCTTGCTGAAGTCCAGAAAGACTACATCCACCGCGACACCTGCATCCATGGCCTTTGTGACCTGATCATAAAAGGCAATCAGGTTGGTCTGACATGATCTCCCCCTAATAAATCCATGCTGATTGCCCCTGAGCATCATCTCGGATGCCGGCCCATCACAAATGTGCTCCTTGATGATCTTCTCAAAGAGCTTCCCCAGGATTGAGGTAAGACTGACGGGCCTATAATTGCCCGGGTCCTCCCTTTTCCCTTTTTTGAAGATGGGGACCACATTAGCTACCTTCCAATCGTCTGGCACCTGGCCCAAGCACCACGATCGCTCGTAGAGCCGTGCCAGGGGCCCTGCAATAACCCCAGCCAGCTCCCTCAGCACCCTGGGGTGGAGAGCATCCGGACCCGCTGACTTGAACGCGTCCAGCCCCTCCAGAAGCTCTCTAACCCGGTCCTCCCCAACCTGAGGTCTGAAGGCGATCCCCTCGCGTCCGGCTTCTATCACAGCAGGGAAGTCCCGGTCCCTGCACAAGAAAACGGAGGTGAAGAATTGGTTAAAGAGGTCCGCTTTATCCTCTGACGCAACCACCAGATTGCCCCGCATATCCTGCAGGGGCCCCACATTACCCGGCGCCTTCTTCATCCTCCCAATATATTTGAAAAAGGACTTTTTGTTATCCTTAATCCTGGACGCTAATCCGAGCTCTATCTCCGCCTTGGCCTTCCTAACAGCCCGCCTGCAGGCCCGAGCAGAGGAGGTATACTCCTCTTTGGAGATTACACCCCCCTTCCACCGGGCGTACGCTGCCCTTTTGGCAAGCAGGCATTCCCGGACACACTTGGTGAGCCAGGGGGGCTTTCGGACACTCCTGCCCGCCTTGCTTCTTGTCGGGATGGACACCCCTTGGGCCCCGAGTATCGTTTCCTTAAGGAACGACCACTCCTCTTGGACGCTGAGTTCCTCTGCCCTCAAGGACCCCAGTTCCTCTCCCACTAATCTCCTCATCTCACTGAAGTTGGCCCTCCTGAAGTCTAGGGCCACCACCTTGCTGCGGGCCCTTGACACTCTACACATACGTACCCTGCCCTTGCTTGTCACAGGTTTCAATGCGGACTTGATTAACTAGTCTTGTTTCAAGAGTGACTTTATAGGTGCATGTTTCCATATACATGGAGGGATTTGTAGTTGTTGATAGTATGCTAGGCACTAGCGGTCTTTAGGGCATCCCTGGAGGGTGCAAATTGGGGTGACTGCCCTGGGCCCCGCAGTTTGGGGGGCTGTGCAGAGCTGAGCGGAGCAGCCGCGGTGACTCTGTACTGCCAACACTTGCTTCGAGTCCAGCCACTTGCTATCCCTGCCGCCATCGCTGCTGGTGGTGGCGGCAACTGCTTTGGGTCTGGGGCAGGTGGGATCAGAGCGGGAGCGGGGCCCCGCATGAGCTGATTTGCCCTGGGCCCCACTCAGGTCAGCTCTGGCAGTCTTATTACCACCCGCTCCCAGCTCTGGATGTATAGTGCTGGTGCAGTATTTCTGTAGAGAACAATGTTTTGAAACTTGATTGCTTAAAGTTGGGTACCTGAAGTCCATGTTGAGGTGCCTAAGGTCAAGCGAAGTCACCCAAGCTAAGAAGAGCTCTGCGTGTTCAGTATCTCTGAAAATATACAATTTGGGGCTCACTCTTACACTTGTTGTCTTGTGGAAAGACACTCCTAGTCTTGCTGCCATGTGCAAAGTTTTGGCAACGTGGGCATAGCTCACCAGGCTGAAATGCAAGGTGGAACGTGATCAATGGTTTATGCATAACATCCTCTGAGACATGCCAGGACTTACAACTGTGGCACTGGCTGTCTCTCTGCCATTGTGTTTGCCAGCTCCATACCACTGAGGTTGGCTGTACAGCCACTCCCCGACTTGCAACGTTTCGAGTTGCAACGACTGGCACTTACAACGTTTATAAATTGACGCCCTGTTTCGACTTTACGATGCTTGATGCGACGCGATGCTTGATCTGTTTTCATCTCCCTGGAGAACATCTGTCCAAATTTCCTTGGACACTTTCTTTCAGACAAGACTCCAGAAAACCTGCAGCCAAGGCTCCCAAGAAGACTCCAGCCGAGAGCCCTTCAAAAAGTTCAGCAAAGTCAACTGAAAGTCGTCCTTCCAATCAATATGATTGCTATTTACAGTATAAATACATATTACTCCTCTATAATTGATTGAGTACAAAATTCTGGGTTATTTTTGGTGAAAACAGGGGATCGAGCCTTGGTTTAGGAACCAATCCCCTGTTTATAATATTGTTTCCTATGGGAAAGTTGGTTCCGAGTTGCAACGTTTCAACTTAAGACGTGGTTTTGAGGAACCAGTTGTGTCATAAGTCCGAGGACTGCCTGTATTTTGGGGGCCCCTGTAGTGTCCCAGTTACTCTCCTGGGAATTGGATGAGAGTGCCCGAGTTACCTCCCTGAGGATGTGCCATCTGTTTCACCAGCAGATTTCACGAGTGACTAGCTCCGTTCTCGGCCAAGAGAGCAGAAGCAAAGCGCCATTCACCGCGCACGTAACTTTTCCTATAATCGCTCTTCTCTTCTCCCTCGCTTGAAGCATTCGTTAACGTGGAGTTGTAGGAGTCAGCCGCTGATTTACATGGATGCCTTTTTCATTAAGTTGCTTGTGATAGTGGCTGTGTTTTTCAGCCCAAGCTCCCACAACTTCTGCATTGGCAGGAGGGAGGGCAGGGTTTTGAAGGGCTGGTTTTGCGATCGAAACTGGGCGTAACTTTATTGTAAATTATTTATTCACTTTTCTGACTGAAGAGTTTGTGCTCTGAAAAAAATAGTGTTCTGCTGCTCTCAGTTTGGAGCCTTTTGCTTTTTTTTCCTTAGAAAATGTGTGTGTGGGTGTGTGTGTGTGTGGTGTGCGCGCACTCTTCTGCTTTTCTTTTTCCCTTTAAAGAGTGTGTGCGCACGTGTGTGTGTTTGTTTCAGTTTGTGGGTTCAACTTGGCTTGTTGCAACTTCATAGCAGAGACATCTTTGACTGCTACCCTGGTACGGTGGGCTGTCTTAAATATTG